CAACCATTCAACCAAGTTCGAAGCGAGTTTATCTAGTATGTAGTTTAACATATTCCTTGAAGAATGGCACGAATGACTGGTTACGTTGTAAACTGGAACTTAGTATGATGGCATCCACCATGTTTCAGCTAGATCTCACTTTGCTGAAGCCTCGGTATTCCTTTCGGTTACATCGCTCCTTGCGACGTTCACGTTCTCAAAACGCAAAGGACCAGGGAGAGGAGATCGCTCCAAATATTGAGCCAGGACCCAATGCTCCTGCGTTGTACGTGTGAAAATCTGTTAGAAGGCTCATTCGCATTCATGTGCACCCCTTTTCAGGTCACCAAGAGCGTTCGAATTCGAGTTCAAACCCCGGTCGGAGAAGCATCGTCGGATTATTCTTGATAGCGTGAATTAAAAATGAAGTCAGAAACTTGTAGTCCGCGCAATTGTCTTGTCTGTGTTGAGCACCTAAAGTAGGTGTATTGGATTTTGTAATTGAATAATCGACTTGGCCTCTTCACTACATGCGCGTCATATCTACTTCTTCAGTTTTTCGACAAGCTCCGGTACCGCCTCGTATAAATCCGCCACGTATCCCAAGTCTGCTACTTGGTGGATAGGCGCATCCGGGTCCTAGGATACAGTGTCAATAAAAACATATGAGAATCGAGTAATACAATCGTCAAAAATCATACCTTGTTAATGGCGACAATCAATTTCGAATCCTTCATTCCAGCCAAGTGTTGGATAGCACCACTGATTCCCACAGCAATGTACAATTCAGGAGCGACGACCTTGCCAGTTTGTCCAACCTACACGATGATATCAAATTAATATGAGATAATATACTTGCCTTTTTCGGAGACTACTTGCCTGCAAAGAGTTGTCGACATACCCCGCGTCCACTGCCGCTCGACTAGCTCCCACTGCCGCACCGAGAACATCGGCAAGAGGGTCGATAATCTTTTTAAAAGTCTCTGCATCCTTCAACGCACGACCACCCGAGACAACCCGTCCGGCGACTGCGAGATCGGGGCGATCGGATTTGACCAATTTGGTTTCGATGTGCTCAGTTCCGGGTACGGGGCTAGTGGCTTCCAA